TCAAGCAACCCCCGTCGAACCGGTGATTCTTAACCCCGACCAGCAACACCACGTTGCCAACCTTGGGACAAAAGTTTTCTGCGTCGAGAAACACCGTCAGGATCACTTGCTTGCTAGTGCTCGGGTCGAGTAATCGCGCGGTTCGCTGAGTGTGCGGCGGCATGTGTGAAGGTTCGACGTCGGACAGCGAGGCGACCACGGCGAGGACGTTGACAGACCAATTCTGCTTGAAGGGCAGGTTCGGTATGGATTTTAGGTTCGTCAACTTCAACGGAACACTCGGATCGGTCCAGTCGCGCGGAAGGGCAACCGGCCCTCCCATACTTCTTGCTTGAGCTCGGCGTTGTGTTGCCTTCGTCTCTGACACCCGCATAACCTCGAATCCATCTTCAGCGTCGTCGTCGTCCTCGTCGGTTTCGCGAACCATTCTAGGAGCTGGCTTCGGAGTAGGGCGGGGTAGTTGCCTCGGGACTGGAGTATTTGGAGGTTTGTGACCCTTGTTCGGTGTAGTCGGTGGTTCGAAATCGTCAATGTCCAAGTCGCTGTCGGAAATGATGTCTTCCTCCGGCGGTTGCGCCTCAGGCTTCAATGGCTTTGCGTCAGGCTCGGTGAGTGCGCGATGCCAGCCAACGGTGACAAGATCTTCCACAATGAGGTAAACCATCTGCCTCGTCTTCCCATTTCCCTCGTCATCGGCAGCGACGTCCTGGAAATGAACCGTCACCTCGCCCAGCCGCACATAGCATCCAACCCTTACAGCTCCCGTATCCAGGAACCGATGCACCTCTCCACGCAGGAGCGCCTGTATGCACAGTTCGCCATCCCCAAGTAATAGTCTCACGGCTCTCCAGCGCGTCGAACGGGGAACAGGAAGCGACTCAATGTGCTCGACGAGGAAGACGGAGCCGGGGATGCAGTAGCGGGTTCGCAGGAGATCGTGGATCAGAGGTTTCGGGGTAAAGGGCTCATCTTCGTCGGCGAAGGCTATGCTGGTCGAGGTCGTCGATGTGTCGGGCGCGTGAGGGGACATGTGGACGCGTTCATCGTTTCGTGGGACGCGGGAAGACCGCGACCGCGTGAGGTGGGTGTTGGTTGATGATTTTGTCAGATTGAACTTGGCCGGTGGCGGGCGCGAGGTGTTTGCTGACGCCCGGTCTTGAGTTAGCGTGCATCCCACTAAAGATTCGCCTGCTGCACGTCATTACGTAGCTTTTAGCCCCGCGCTAGGCATCACCCTGGTCGCTGAACCGACCTGACATCTGCACTCTATCTGTTCCCTGGCCACTACATGGGTAATAACATGAACAATAGCTTTCTGATAGATGCTAATATACTATCATATGTTTACATCAGTTGCGTTCTAATGATCTAGTAGAACTTTTGCTTCTTCGTTGCATAATCTTTAATGACATACTTGTCAACAGAAATGCGTTCAGAAGCACCTCCATGTCTTCTATTCTAAAACACAAGTAGGCAATGATGGCAGGATATGCCTAATATTAACATGGATCTTGAACTGTGGTAGCTCTTTCGCGCTTAGATCTCAGTACAATGCCTAATGCAAGCTCAGGATACGAAAACCCACTCTCAGCAGAATCAAGGTCTTCGTTGAACGTCCACCGTTGCAGAGCTCCTTTTTTTCATGTTCTTGATTGATTCTAGACCACCATCGACTCGTAGAAGCCGCAACAAAGAGCGGAACATTCCAGGCCGTTAGAACAAGATCGAGAATTACTGCGTGTGCGATCATCATTTTGGCAGTGATGTGTCATGTCCGTTCTCGTCGGGAGCCGCATCCGGTCTGGATTCGGCAGACGCCGATCCTGGGTTTCCAACTCCGGTGTTGATAACAAGTAGCGCCAACTCAGTCAAGCCACTGGATTTCTGCCACAAGGAACACTTTTGGTTTTGTCCTCTGGAGCCCTCCCTGATGCCCGGGCATTCGGGGCTCTTTCCCCCTTTCTTCATTTGCAAGTGTGTGCTGTGAAGATTGTCAGTTCGCTACTTTGGGGGCTTTGAAGATATCTTGACATCGTCCGTTCGGCTGTGGGTCACTCGAACGACAGCATATTTCTGCCTCTGTCGGCATTGGGTATCGTGAGTGCTTCCGGGGTCCGTTGGGTCCTCCCGCCGCCGGCCCGACCACATCTCGGCCGTGAATCCCCACCGTCATGGAGCTCAACGCTACAACACCAGGGCCGTTTCCGAGCCCAAGCTCACCGGAGTCTCTTCCTCATGACAATCGACAGGGACTAGTGGTCGGGGTCACATCAGCCCTCCTCGCGCTCGTTATCATATTTATGGGCATCCGAGTATACATCAGAGGATTTATGCTGAAGGCATGGGGTTGGGATGATTCATCGTACATATTATCAGGGGCAAGTTACACAGGGACGAATTGTCATATTCTGACTGACAGTAACTAGGTTTTCATCGTGAGCCTTGCCATACCTGTCTACTTTAGTAAGGACCAGCATATCTCATCAGGTATCCGCGATATCAAGGCTAACACTAGTTCTCATTTAGATGTAGAGAAAGGCTCTCTTGGCCTGCACTGGTGGGACGCAGCTCCTGAGCGCTTAGCTATCGACAGCAGGGTAAGTTCGACAGTCACATCCCAAGCATATCGCTGACATGAACAGTTCCTCATAACAACGGTTCTCACTTATCAGGTTGCGTTCGCGTCCACCAAAGCTACCTTTCTACTCCAGTACCGGCGAGCCTTCGCACTACCTTCTGTTCAACTATTTTGCGACGTAATGCTGGCTGCAACCGCCGTCATCATGGCATCGATGCTCCTCTCTGGAGTCTTCGTTACCAAGAAACTCCCGGATCCAGAGTACGCCGCCAGCTCGGACCAGAGCGCTTTCCTGATTTTGGGTTATGTGAACGCGGCTGTACATCTTGCCACCGACATCATCATCTTCATTCTTCCACTCCCTCTGGTGGGTAGTCTAAAACTTGCGACGATGCAAAAGGCTGGACTCATTGCCAGTTTCGCCGTCGGCATTTTGTAAGCGAATTGACCAGTACACCGCAACTCGAGAGAGCCATGCTGACATGCGACCCTCCAGCACTGGCGCGATATCAGTGGTGAGAATGGTCAACCTCCCCTTAGGAGTTAACTCCACCGACCCCTTCTTCGACGCCGTCCCCCTTGTTCTGTTCAGCATCGCTGAGCCAACGTCTGCCATTATATGCGCCTGCATACCCATCATGAGGCCGCTGCTTGGCTGCTCAGATCGGTCTCGCAACTCCAGCCATGGTTCCCGGAGATGGCTCTCAAAGCTGTCGGATAAGTCTGCTGGCAACCAGGCACCGTTGTCCTTCCCGGAGATGGCGTACATGACTCCTGCAGGGAGCCCTCGTGGTGGTTTCGAAGGATGTCTGTCGAATGCACAGGCCAGAGAGCTCGATATGATTGAGTTCGGGACTCCAACTCGGACGCCATCGTCTCCAGCTACGCCGCTGCGAAGATACGACAGCGACTTGGGCCTCTAGATAGGTGAATAGAATGTTTTCGCACAACCATGAAATCTCAATCATCGTTCCTCAAATTTGTTTCGACAAACTTCGTACGTGCAACCAACATAATAAGCGCCTTGTCCCAGTAGTAAGAAAATAGATTGCTAAACAGATGTTACAAGCAGCGCTGAAATACTAGAGGCCCTTCTCGGCTAGCCCTATTCTACACCATCGGGCTCGTCTGTGACGGCGACCAGAGCCAACGTGGGTCCGTCACTTCGTTCCAACCTCGAAGGCGGACGCATAAACCTTTAATCAATTTTTATTCATGCATCTGTAATTTGATAAGAATGAATGCCGTCAACGTTCGTAATGTTGAGGAAGTTTCGAGCCCACCCAGTAGGGGTTTTCACAGTAGGGGAAAAAGCAGTAAAAGTACCTCGGTCAGTGCCCAGTCCAGTAGCTTCGCAGTATACATACCTAAAGGTCCAGAATAACTACCCGCGCCGACCCTAACTTACCTATTATAGCTGTTAGCTTCGTTAACGATAGCTTCGTTACTAGTAAGGTTAATAGCCTCGCCCGCGTGACTCACAAGCAAGATATATACTAGAGATAGCTTCATAAGGTCTTTAGCTATAGAAAAGCTTATCTTAGCTACGTTTTTAAGATGCTACTTACGCTAAGCTTTAAGTCTATTCTTTACCCTATAAATAAACTACTTAGATTCCTATACTTTTATAATATATTCTATCCTACTTAATCTATAGGATCTTATATTATAAAACTTTACTTAAAGTATACCCTAAAACACTAAAATTAATACTAACTATAAAGCTAAGCTTATAGTAATTAGTAAGATAATACTCTTTAATATATAGAGCTTTAAGGACTAAATAGCTATAGCTAGGTCCTACTTTAAGGTTTTAGAAGCTAACCTTAGTAGTAATAATATAGAAGCTACCTGCTTATTTTAGTAAAGCTTCTCGCTTAATAATATAGATATATTTACTACTAATCCTAGTATTTATACTTATTTTAATAATATCTTTAGTAGGGTAGTATAGCTAGTAAGTTAACTAAGCTAACTAATTATAGGTATTACTAATAAATATAGATAAAGATATTAGCTTAGTTAATAGAAGGCTTAGATAGTAGTAATAGTACTATATCCCTTAAAAACGTTATAATAGATATCTGTCTTAGAGGGCGTATATAGCGTAGGTAGTAGAAAAGACGGCTAAGCTAATAGAGGGTGTGTGTGAGGGTTAGTAGATAGGTTAGAAGGCTGGAGAAAGTCTGCTTCTATAGTAATTAAACTTAGTTAAAGTTATGAAGTTATTATTGAAGTGATGTTAAAGGTAATGAGATTGTGATAGCGTACCTAAGTGTGTGTAGGGGAAATAGGGCTGAAGCTAGGATTATATGACTAGTAGGCTGTTAGCTGAAGGGTGAAGTTGGAGGTTGTTGCAGTATAGGTTCTAGGTAAAAGTCACAGTAGCTGGCCAGAGGCCATTCGTAATATGGGTAATGTCTCACCACACGCAGGGCTTGCAGCATTTAACAACCCCCGTCATGCCCTGAGTTTCATTTTTGTTCGGGTTGCCGGTACATCCAGTGAGACAAGGAAGTTCCATATCACTTGCACAAATCCATCCTTGGTCGAAGCGGGCTTCAAGGCCTCCCAGTCCTTTACACATAGTAGGAGCAGATTGGCACTCTGCGGTAACGCCGATGGCCACGGTGGCGAGAACAAGTGCTTGTTGAAATAACATCCTTGGGTATTGAAGAAATAAAATCGAGTCGCGTTAGGTTGGCTCGTCGAGAGACTAAAGGGATTGAAGGATGTCTTTCCGTAGATCAATTGATGGGTCTTCTTCGTGGTTGTTATAGTTGCCGTGCCTTCGCAGCTCCGAGTCGCCGAAGATAACGCCATATGTAGACCGCCAAACCACATCTCCTATCTTCTATAATTAGTGCAAGTAGATATAGCGGCAGCCTGCTGTAGATCTTACTTTGCGACTGTTCTTGGCCTCGAGTAATTCTGAGTAGATGGCAAGTCATTTCACGTGGTCGACTTCCTAAACTGTCTTGCACTTTCCCGTTTGTGTTACAAAAGGCAAGTTGTCGAAGTTCCTGTATATTGAAACCTGCCAATGTGGGGCTCCTCCGAGTCTCGCCCTACAGTCGCGGGTGTATGAGATACAGTCAATTGAGGCTGTGATAGTTTGTAAATCCAGTTCATAAAGTCTGTTGTATGGTACGAATTGCCTGGGGAGTCAAGAATAGCGCGCGCGAGATTTGAGGTGTTCTCTAAGGCATGTGCTTAATCTTGCGGTTATCAATTCAGACCAGCATCAATGTCATCGAGTACACGTTGCGTCATGCGTCTGGCTTGGAGATAGCTTATAACCATACTACCGAATCTAAAGTCAAAAGATTGATGGTGTTGTCGCAGTTTACTAATCCTAAGGTAGATACAACATAAAAGCAGCCTTTTTCAGGCCAGTCACGAAGCCTTTTCTTTCATCAGGTATTCGTGACTTTTCCAATCCTGGACAAGTCGGCGGTGACAATGCTGTAACCCGGTTTGAACTTAGATTTGTGCTCTTTACCAGAACCATGGCTATCTACCGCGTTGCGATAGCTGTTGTGAAAAGTCATCACCAATTATTGAGGGTTCGGAAGAGAAGTCGCAACGTTGCCCACATACAGGTCTGTTAGTTTCATACAAAGGTCGAATTTTCCTTTACCTAGGATACAAGAGCATCGACTTTGATGAGTCCGAACAATCTCCGCCTAGTCGTCACGAAGTTGCGATCCATTTTCTGTGCAGTCTTCATAGGTGTGTCGTACTCACATCCTTCTTTTGCAAGCTTTTCACGGGCAGACAAATCCACAGACATACCTAAGAGTTGATATCTCATAGTGCGTATCCAGATATCCCCGGCCTCAGGCCGCGTTGTTTGACAAACAGGTGGTACGCACATGGAGTCCGGGATGGGAAGCGGACTCAGAGAAGTTGCCTCTAGACAGCTCGACCTGCAACATTGACCACCATGAAGACATGTAAGACTCATTTGTATTTGCGATGTTAAGATGCGTGGTTCATATAATCTGGACGACAGGTCTGACCGTGCTAGCGTCGTCGTGAAAGCGGTTGTTTGTCCTCATCGGTGCTCCGGCGACATAGACGGCGTCGCATGCAAGATCTGACGTTTCAAAGGTCCGATGAGAGAGATGCACAACAACCTTAATCAATCATTAATCCAATCGTGGGATGAATTTACGCATTTGTTTCAATCACATAATAGACTTCTGGTCAACACCGTGTCAACATGCAAGGGGCGAAGGCAGCGAGGCCGAATGGAGAGCGCGACGCATCAACATGACAGGTCCCCTGGATATGCACCGGAATCCTTCACCAGCAAACATCGCATCTTAGCTGCTCACATGAGACGGCCAGGGATGAACATGCCAAACAGCAGTGCTGTTCGTGCGCCCCCAGATTCGCGGGGTTCTTTGAGCTCGCCCTAGCCCCTGATGGCGCGTGTTCATAGCTTTCGGTTGCGGCGCGCTGCCAGGGCGATCTTGGCGCCGCAGGGGCGAAAGTAAGCACGGCCGATGACCACCAACGAGAGTTCTCATGTACACAGCAACGTACAGATTTTGAGGTGGAGGCCAGCGCGGGCCAAGAGCAACCCCAAGATTTATTCAATCAATCAGAGCAGACAGCGGTGATGTTGGCATGAGAAGTTCAGCGGCACAGGCGCCCCTAGGTGCCGCTGAAACCAACAAAGACCTCTGTGTTGCTTTGTAAGCCCCCAAGGCAATGCGAGCCTGCCATCAGCTTGCTCCATGGGGGCCAATCAACCCAGTTTGGCGGCTTTTGATGGGAGATAAAAGCCATCCGATGTCCTGTCGAGGCTTCTACATGATCTCAAGTAATCCAGATTCCAGCGTTCCCTAGTCAGTGCGATCCATTATCTTCTTCTACCTGAGGCTTCTTTGCTTTTCCGACCGCAATCATGAAGTTCCTCCCACTCTTCGTCACTCTTGCCACAACCGCAAACGCACATTCAATTTTCCAACGGCTAGCTATTGACGGCGTAGACCAGGGCCAACTGAAGGGAGTTCGCGCGCCAGAAGACGACAGCCCGATAATCAACCTAGACGATGCCGACTTCTCCTGCAACAAGAATCTCGTCTTCTTAGATAAATCTATCATCACGGTTCCTGCTGGTGCCAACGTCGGTACTTGGTGGGGACACGGCATGGCTGATGCGATAGTTCCAGGCGACGTGGACCATCCTATTGCAGAAAGCCACAAAGGTATGGACGGTGCTTTGACCCGTGACTGGCAACCATGCTAACCCGGAAGAAGGTCCCATTATGGCGTACCTTGCCAAGGTAGACAATGCCGCGACAGCCTCACCTAGTGGGCTGAGGTGGTTCAAGATCGCAGAGAGCGGTCTTCAGAATAACCGGTGGGCGATTGATGATCTAAGGGCTGATGAAGGGTGGTTCAACTTCACGATGCCTTCGTGCGTTGCGTCCGGAGACTACCTCATGAGAGTTGAGATCATTGCGTTGCACGAAGCATTTGAGGCGATGAAACAACCTCAATTTTACATGGAATGTGCACAGTACGTCTCTCAAAAAACCAATATGCCCCCTGAAGCCAGATATTAAAGATGAGACAGAATTCATGTTAAAGGATCTGGTACGAATACCGGCGAAGACTTTGCCGAATTCCCTGGGACATATCAGCTCGAGAAGCCAGGCCTTGTCTTCAACATTTACGATGATAACGGTGGATATGACCCCACTGGGAAAACGTATTCGATTCCTGGGCCCAAAGTTTTGACTTGCTGAGCCGGCTTCCATGTAGCGAGTTCCAAGGCTGCTGGAAGAACGTTGTGCTGACGGCGATGGGTCGCACTTTGTGGCTAGATCTTAATCATAACTTTTCTCTCGACCACTTTTCTATCAAAACCATTTCAACTTTGTGGTGTTGGATATCGTCACCAATTAAGCTTCGTGACTGTTTATCCACTATCGTGATGCCAACGTAGGACTCGGGAATACCATGTGCAGATTCATATGGCGACATCGGCACGACGGTACCCTCGGCAGCTATCCAGTTATCTCAGCTTCGGCTCCGATTATGTTGATTACAAATTAATAAAATTTAAATGAGTGTATCATTCAGCGTTGTCTTTCATTGCCAGCTGTGAGGAGATGTCGCGCTGGTTGAGAAGATGAGCGCGAGGAACCGTTGATGAGATGCTCCCACCATCTTACCCAAAAATCGATGGTACACCAGCTACAATGAATCGAAGATTACGTATCTATGTATGTGTAGAGCTAATTACGCGTATCGCATTTCCGTCTCGCGCATGCTTGTTTCCGTCCCAAATCCAGAACCCAGGCAACGAAGGTTTGGATATACTAGGAGATACTAAGTGAGGCTCATGCATAATCGAATTCAATCTGAACCCCTCCCAAGCTCCGATATCCCCGTTAGTCCTAATAGTATTGTTGCCGACTCGCTCCCGGGCCTGGGAACTGAGCCGAAGGGCTGTCTGTGAATTCAGACTGGGGATTGAAAGACGTTCCGGAACAGTTTGTCCCCGTACTTAGCCTCAATCAATCATGTAGTTAGATGTCATTCTACCCATGATATTTGATGTATTCTTCAGAGACACACTCTTGGGAGAACCGGGTTTTGCCGTTGCCCATTTTCATTTGGCTATCGGTCGCAAATGTGTTGAAGGTGATGCAACATGATCAGTCGTAGTTGTAAAAGCCGGGTTATTCCTTTGACCCAGCGACACAAGTGACGTGGTCAGTATCGGGCGGTGTTTCTGAGATGCGAACTTGTATTACGAAAGAACTAATGGCAGGCAATGGTTGTGAATCTCATGCTCTGACTTGAGCGTCACTGTAATGAAGGCTCAAGTGTGGCCTGACCAGTGGACTCCGTGAACAACACAACGCAACAAACTCACAAAGACACTTATGCTATCAAGTTAGAGAATTTTTCCAAAATAGTTATTTGCGAAACCGATGGTTGATACGTGAGACTGTTACTTCTTCATTGCTTGACGCGAGATGATCTACAATGAAGTTGCAGATCACTTTACGTTGACCAAAGCTTGGCCTAAGAAAAATCTTTCGGGCATATTTTATTAGCCGTTCATGCCCCGCCGAGAATGTCACACAATGGTTTGGTCAGAGAAACGAAGAATTCTTGGCCCGAATCCGAAAAATACAAGCCCGGCAGGCCTGGTGGAGCCGCGATAAATCAAGCTCTGCCAGCGCCGGTCGCTGTTCCGCCAAGATATGAGCCGGCAAGTTGCGAAATTCTGTTACCGCCCCGGACTTAGGGATTCAAGACTCTTGATTGAATGTTTGCGCCTCACGGGGATTGTGTGAGTTCCGGGGAGGTGACATTGCAGGTGTGGCTGATGTTTTATTGACGGCTCAAGACTTCCGCGTATTCGCTAATCCCTTCTCGCATCTAGAACAGCTGGGAGGCCTTATCGAGTATCAACAGCGACTGATCAGCAGTAGGCTGTGAGCTAGCGCCATGTTTGTTGGCGACGCTAGAATTTTCTCTGACAATGGGCCAATCCCACGTCCCATGGCAATCCCGGGGTCACTCGCTGTCGCTTTCTTTCCCATCAAGGAGTCATGAACCGGGATTCACCAGCGGGTTCTTGCAACTGTCCGGCGCTGCGGCAAGACCCGCGGCTCTCGACTCTTGGGCGGG